CAGTGAAGCCTCTCCCGTACTAGGAATCTTGCGCACCTTCACTACCCTTCATTGGAAAGTTCGATGCACCACAAACCTGTAATGACCACATGCACTTCAATAATCATTATGAAACAGGAAACTTTTCGTTGTTAATCAGGATTTCTCCACTTTTCCGGAAATTTTGGTATTACTGAATAATAATTAGTTCCAATAATTATTTTGCAAGGGAGGAGGTGGTGTAGTAGCATTGGCGGGCGCATTATTGCACACATGGTCCGGGGCTCAAATCCCGGGTCGATTCTAAGCCAANTTTTTTTCATGAACTTACCCATACTAGTTCTTGTATGACAGCAGTAGGTAATTACAACCGGTATAATTATGGACGGCCTTCAAATGATTGCAATTCCTTTGTAACTTCTTCGAACCCAAAGTTGTCTGTGATATCTTTCTTTGTTCCCAACGGGACACCAAAAAGTTACCAATCGCATGATCACAATCCTTAGAAAATTTGCATTTGCATGGGTGTGTCAGGTGTTTTCCTGAACTGTTCCCGAAAAGCGAGAGAAGTGCTGATAATTCGTCAATGAGCAAAGGATAGGAAAGGCCAGTTTAAGGTATATAAAATGCGTATCGCATATGATTTCCAAATGAAAGAAAGAAGATTGATAGGTCCGTACCATTACAGTAGGCCAACAAGACAACAAGTAGGCTTTAAAAATGCTTCTCAGTCCTCCTGAAAATGAGATTTTTGCGTTTCATGTCATAACTCTTCGAAGAAAACCTTTAATTTCAAAGCACCTTGAGTAACACGTTAGGACTACGGTGTTTTCTTTTCTATTACACTTTCCAACGTCAAAGGAGGCTTGTAAACGTCCATGGCAAAAGCAGAGTGAGGGCTCTGTGGAGCAAAGACTCTTTAGCTCCTTTACTTCACTCCTTTACTTCCTTGTGACTCGTTCCCTCAGCCGATCTTCTGAGGTTCTTCCCTCAGACGACCGGTATGACAGAGATTCACTTAGAGTACATAGGTTGACAGAGATTCGTCCCCGAGCAATAGCTCCAATGATTACTTATTTACATTATGAATGGTATTGATAAGCCATGGGTAATTGTAAGAAAACGAGCGAATAAGCAAATGAACGAAAATACTGATTGATATCGATAAATCTTGACTAATGAATGCAAATATTGATTAATGAATATTATGAATATCAAGTCGAAAATACTGGAAATACCGGAAATACCTATATAAGAACCACAAATTTAGTTGAGTCGTCTGTCTATGCTCTCGAAATTAGCTCCCTAATTTATCGTTTTGGGACTTTTAGTAAACAATGCCGATAAATCAGAACGATCAAAATGGTCGTTAATTCGAGCATCGGGTCTAGCCTTTGTGAAAGCGATCACATTCTCTCCTAGCTTACGGAAACAGGTTTTCACCACCAATTTCTCTCCCTTCATGATTCATACTTACTACCTAGACAGGCATGATTTCTACAACGAACTGACACTTTAGTGAACTATCTAGCGTAGCTGTTTTCCAACGAATTCGAACTGGTTCCCGACTACCTTTCGCCGAAAGTTATGGGCCTTTTCGATGGCTATTGTTAACCTTGACGTAATCCTCTCTAATGTCCTTTTTACTTTGCAAACGTTGAAGTTTCCAGCAGCTTAACGACGTTTTCTCACAAGGACGAGTGAAATCGTCCGTATCTCGTACAATGCCATCACTGGAAAAAGACGTCAACGAAAAATAGCATCACCGGGAAACGGATAGAAAGTGACAAGTCAAGGGGTAACTGCATAACGGGGTAACCTTGACATCACCGTGTATGCATAGTTTTCGCTCTCAGGAGAGTCTTTTCAATGGAGTATTACCAAAAAATTTGAATCGATGTTCAATTCCCAAAAATTTTGCTAAAATCATTGGTCAAAAAAGGCTGCACTTGTTTTGAGTAGCGCCATGCCTTCTAGGAAATGTTGGAAAACTCTGGCAGTTGTTTATCGTGAACCTTGTTTCTTGGGATAGGATGAGCTACCAGACGTACTGTTCGGAGGATAATCTGATGTCATGTAGGCGATTTCAGAAAGTTAAAGGCGTCTCAGACCACCTTCTTCTCGAGTCAGCAACAAAAGTGTACTTCCCATTAAGATGAATAGTCAGCTCTGGACTGCTCTAAAGGTAGCAATTCGTGATGGAATTCCTGAACTCTGCCTTTGAACAAAGTCCTTTTCAGATGCATGCACTGATGTTTCAAGCAGCAGCACAGTGCCAATCTTGCCTCAGCCGAATCAAACAGTCGTCACCCCATTAGACAGAGTTCTACCGTAATTCATTCTGGCATAGCCCTAGAATTTGAGAATTAAAAGATGAATTGCCTCGGTTTTTTTGTGAACTCAACTCGTTCCGAAAACCATGGTCTTAGTGGTGAATCAGTGCGTAAAAGCGCTTAGTTTAAGAGCGAACCTTGCCAGTTCCAATGACTCATCATAGAGGTCAAAGGAGTACGATTCCCGTCCTTCCGGTCGAACCTAAAACTGGTTGGCCAGCTTCCAAGAGTGAAAGCCTTAGTCATCATGGGCTTGGGTGGATTCAGGTTCAATTCTTGTTGAACCGGCTTTTCCCAACACTAACTCTGTCACAAAGTATTAAACGACTTATTAAACTTATTAAAGCTTCTTAAGGTCATCATTACAGTATTGAAAAATGCTTTTAGAACCTTTCGCTGTTTTGCGTTCGTCATGAAGGCTTTCAAGCCGCCTACCCCAGGCTCGAAAACCTCTCAAAAAATTTTCTATGAAATTTCTCCGATGAGTAAAATGAAAAGTATGGGATGCTTAAAGTATTCGAGTCTAATGTACCCTGATATTGAAATCCACTACAGTTGTAAGTGAGATGAAAATGATAGCAGAGGGAGGGCACTGTCAAAAGGTGGGAGCCACATTTATCAAAGCCATCGGACTTCTGTTCGCGTCAGCTTCCTAGTTCCGTGTTGATAGGAAATTACCGCACTCGAAATAGATCCTATGAGGCTTAGGACACATTACTTGACGTTTCTTTCTAAACAAATTTCTATCCAGTATTTTGTCGCTCCTTATAGTCTCTTCAAACACCAGCTTTTCTCTACTGTGCTTCGATAATTTACTCGAACACCTTGGTACTTGTTACATACCAATAATCCTTACTATATATAAAACGCTCGCGTCTGTCTGTCTGTTTGTTTATTTGTTTGTTTGTTTGTTTGCACGGAGATTCATAACTGCTGTCCCCATGGACCTAGAACGTTCAAATTTGGTAGAAGCACAGGCGGCAGGATGGCAACACTTATGGTGGTGACCGGAGTGGACTCCTCTCACAGGGAGCGGGGTTTGCGCCAATTAAATGTTGGAGCGGGGAAATCATAACTCCTGTCTCCGTGGACCTAGAGCGTTCAAATTTGGTAAGAGTACAGGAGGTAGGATGGGAACATTTATGGCGGGTGGAAGGACCGGACCGCGTCCGCAGGTTGCGAGGTTTGC